CCCTTCCATCCTCAATCAGCAATGCTTTCTTTAACTTTGAATCTTTAACCTTCAACCTGACCTGTCTTCTTGTATGCTTCCTCTGCTCTAACTTGAGGGAAGCTGGATATTTCTGGAAGAAACAAAATATACTGACAGGATCCGTTACAAAATTTATACAACCCTTAACTGGGCACTCACCACTGAATGGCAACTGTTTTATTGATTTCTTACTGAAGGTCTGTGATTCTCCACAATATGCTTTAGACCTCTACTCTCCCCAAGCACCAATTCCACCTTTCCCAGTCACTCACAGAAAATAAATCTATATCTAGTTTTACTAAAATTAAGTGAACTCCTCAACTTTCTTCTTCTAAATCTCACAACATCTTTAACTTTCATATCTCATCCTTTCCTTTTTTTTTGGGGGGGGAGGGTCAAGGCAATCTGGGTTAAGTGACTTGCCCAGCTAGTAAGTGCCAAATGTCTGAGGCCAGATTTGAACTCAGGTCCTCCTGATTCCAGATGCTCTATCCACTGTAACACCTAGCTGCCTCTCCTTTGATTCTTGAAAAGTAACCCAGTTATTTGTCAGGCCCAATTCTCTCAATTTTACCTTCTCCAGTTTCCTCTAGAACCTCGATCCAACACTGATCTCTCATGAATTCTCAATCTCTACCTCTCTACTGGATTCCTACCTTCAGCATCCAGAAAATACTTGACTTCCTCTTTCTAAAAACACAACAAAAAAATCTATCACACACATCACCAATAATCTTTTCGTTATCAAACTTTTAAAAACAGTTATCCCTTGTAGACTCTACTTCCAAACAACTAATTTGATTCTCCATCCTATAAGATTGGATTGCATCTTCATTCTTGTAGTGAAATTGAACTCTCTAATTGCTAAATCCAATGATCTTTTTGTTTATTCTCATACTCCTTTACCATCTTCTCCTTTCTTAATCTTCTTTACCCCTTGCCTGCTGTATCATAGCTCTCTGGTGTTCTCTTGCTGAATGTTTTTGGGGAGATTAAACTCAGCTCTAAAACTCCTTCCTGACTCGGGTATAAGCTGTTTTGATTGATAAAAACTACATCACATAGACCTCCATAGTTAACCCTAATGTTGTTTCACATTCTACCAGGGCCATTTTCTGACTATTCGAGTGTCTACTTCAGCCAGTAGGATGTTGGACCTTGACATCTACCTTACTATCCAATGATTAGTTGAGTATCTGGGGCATCATAAATGCTTAATAAACGTTTTTAATTATGCATTCAAGAAAATTAGCAGAGAGGAAACATGTAGAGAGAAAAATGTAAGGAAAAATTTCAAAGGAAAGATCTGCCTAATAATAGAATAGGCTAACTCTAGACAAAGTTGGTTTTCCATCACAGAAGATTTTCAGGCAGAGATTCAATGAGACTCTTCCTACCTTTCTAATCTTCTTACATACTCTATGATCTAGTGACATTGACATTGTCCTCCCTACTGTTTGTCCCTCACACAAGATACTCCATTTCTTGACTATGAGTTTTTACAGGTTGAATCCCATGCTTGGAATTCACTCCCTCATTATCTCTACCTTCTGCCTTCCCTAGCTTCCTCCAAGTCCTAGCTTAAAGTCCATATTCTACATGAAGTTTTTGATCCACCTTAATGCTTATGTCTTCTATCTCCAGTTTATCCTGTATATACCTTAATTGTACATGGTTGTTTGCATATCATCTCTCCCATTAGACAAGTGAGCTGCTTGAAAGCAGAGATTATTTTTTTGGCTTACTTTGTATTCCTACTGCTTAGCACAGTGCCTAGTACACAGTAGATACTCAAAAACATATTGACTGCTTGGTAATCTCATGAATTCAATATGGCTTTAATTATGACTTCCACATAGATAAAACACTCCTAAACCAAAATCTTCAACCTCAAACCCTCCTCAGCTCCCATTTTAACTACAATCGAAGGAGAAAGTAAAAAGGCATCTATTATAAAAGTTTCAATGGTTCTATGTATGTATGTCTGCATGCACTGGGGGTCATGAGGAAGGAATACTTATTTGAAGTGACTCTTCATAGTATAGTAGGTAGAATGATGAACTTAGGATCAGAAAAATCTGCTATCAAATTAAGCTTCAGACTCTTACTAAGTGTGAGATCCTGGGCAAATCACATTTCTTAGTTCTGATCAGTTTCCTCATCTATAAAATGGAGATGATAATAACACCTACTTACAGGGCAATTGTGAGATAAAGATATCTATATATCTATATATATTCATAACACTTAAGGCACTACATAAATGTTAACTATTACCATAATATTATATAACAATGATTATACTATTACAATCTCAATATTCTAGAGAACTCTCCAAGATCATAAATTGTGGAGAAAGTACTGACTTATAACAAAGTAGAAATTTCCTCACATATGAGTTCCCTGAATCTATGAAATCACAGGTCAAGTCAAATCCTTATTCCCTATGTTATCATCACTAAATGATTATTATGTCTGCACAAAACTTATCCATGTAAAGCATAAAACTATATTAAACATAAAAACATAATAGCCTGATTTAAATGACCTCTTTAAGAGATCCCTTCTTTTCCTCTCACAAATAGGATCGTGGGCAAGGCTACACTCCACACAATGATGAGCGTAAAAAGGAAATCTAAATGAAGGAAGAGAACCTGTTAGCTACACCCTTATTTTTCACCCTCCCTCCAAAAAAAGGTGAAAAAATAAATAAAACATGATAATCACACAAATTTTGTTTGAAATTATGTTAAAAGTTCAGGTCATCTAGGTCCAAAGAGTTTTATTCCAAATTAATGTGAATTAACAACAGCAAAACTTTTAATACGTTTGGGGTTTCTGCCTGCCCCACAGGATCAGGGTTGGTGATTTGAGTTCACAGAAGGCACGAAATCCAAAACCGTTTCCACCAAGCTTCCAAAAGAAATGCTCAACCAGATGAAAGGCTAAATATCAACAGTTAGGAAAGTTAATATGCTGGTCTTGGAAATGTCAACTTCCTTACAGTCTTGAGGAGAGTTAGTTTACCTGCCACACAGTGTGTTATGACACTTCCCTTTTAACAAACCCTCCTCGAGGACCAATGAACTGGTTATTAGGTTTCCAGTGCCAATGGTACTCAGAAATCACTTGGGGGGAAGAGGGGATGGAAATCAAGTCAATGTGCAATTAGAGACAAAGTTCAGAATTTAAAGATCAGCAAAACAAGCCCTTGTTGCAAACAATTCTCAAGGCACCTAAGTGACATGAATTGCAACTCAAAAGCTTCCAAACACTGATTGAGAAATACCAATTACCAAGAAAATCTTCAAAACTTCCTTAAAAAAATTAGTCTTAAAAAACAAGGCTGTCAAGTAGCATTCCTGGTTATTTACATTTAATCTGATACATATAATTTTGATATTCTATGAATAAGTTTCTTTAAACTGGAGAGGCTTCTAGTTAGAAATTTGTATGCCTCCATAGCATGCCTGCCTTAGCTGGTACTTATTTCCTGGCTCTAATACAATAAAAACTACCCTACATATATTTCCCTTAAAAACAAAACAAAACAATTTAAGTTTTCCTATAATCACCATGTAAATTAAGATAGGCCCAAGGTCTCCAGACTGTTTTGTTTTCTTTTTAAATTTTCTTTGTAACTCTAGCATCTAGTACAGTGCCTGGCAAATAGTAGACACTTAATAAATGGTTGTTAACTAAATTTGACAAGGGGGGAAGAGGGAGGAATCTATATTATTTTTAAACCCTGAAAGGTGATGTCTCAACACTCATATATTCATACCATTCTTGGGGTTGTAGATAGGTGGCACAGTAGAGAGTGAAGTCACAAAGACATGAATTCAAACCCTCTGTCATACACACACTAGCTGTGGGGTTATAGGCAAGTCACCTAACGTCTTTCAACATCTCATTTCTTCATCTGTTAAGTAGAGATAAGAACAGCTCCTACTCCATAGGGATGTTGGGCATATCAAATTATCTAATATACATAAAGTATTTTACAAACTCTAAAACACTTTATAAATGCTAGTTACTATTATTATTATTGTTGTTGTTTTTATTATTATTTCTGTTTTCCTAAAAGAGGGACAGCAAAGTAAATGTTCATTAAGATTGAGGTTCTATAAGCACAGTGTGGAGGAAACTAGTTCTTCTAAATGTTTTGCATCTAATACACATCACTCCTCATGTGAGAGAAGACCAGATATCCCTACAGCTATCTCCCTTAATCAACACCAAGTTGATCACCCTTATGGGAGATTCAAGTATATGTCTTAGAGTTGAATCTAAATGTAAATATACAACTTTCTGATGGATCAGCTTGATAATTTTTTTTTAAATCAACAATCTTGATGACTCAAAAACTTTGACAAGTCTGGTATAAACCAAATTAGCAAAAAAAAATTAGCTCTATCAGAAATATTAACAAGATAACATCATGGCAAATGGTTTAAAAACTTGAGTTAGATATTACAGGAAGTGTCTGAACAAATTCTAAATTAGCATCATAGGATTTGGCATTGGAAAGAATCTGAAGAGTTCATCAGGCCCAAGCCCAATTTGATAGATGAATAAACTAAGGCCCACCCCAAAAAGGAGTAATTTGCCCAGGATTACACAGACATTAAACTGACCTGAGATTCAAACCTAAGACTTGTTATGCTGAAACCAATATTCTTTCCAATACATACTTCCAGCTCACCCTTTAACATACAAACCTCAAGTCCCAAGTATGAGTGCACTTGACTTTAACTAAATTAAATATATTAAAATCCAAGTTTATACAAAAGAAAAATGTCTATTCAAATTACAAAAAATATTTGCTATAAGAATCTTTAAAATCTTCTGCATTTAAAGCATGGATTCATTTTAATCACAGTTTTCCTGGAGTGTGCCTATTGTGTATATAACATTTTTATGCATTCACTCACTTATGGAATCAAAATTTTCTTTATACCTGGGTATAGAATACCTACCATTGCTCACCATTCGCCTGGCCACCTCCCATAAGACCAGTCCAAAGGCCCAAATGTCAACTCTTTTATAAGAGTCAAAACAGTTCACTTGGATGGTTTCATCTAAGACCTCAGGGGCCATGTAGCGCTTGGTGCCCACACGAGGGTTGTTTCCAACATCTAGGTGATTGTTGGTCTGGGAGTGGATCACCGCAAGTCCTATGACAAAGGAAAGAGAACAAGAATCATTTCTACCTCAAGGGCACCCATTTGTTCTTGAGTTATTGCCAAAGCATCTATGGTTATGCCAATGAATCCCCATCCCAAAATGCCATCTTGTGGTTCTGAGGTGCCACTGCTAGGATACATGAAGAAATGCCTGTGTTGGACCTTAAGGAATAGATGTAGCAGGGGAAGAACTTTCTGAAATCTTAAGAGTGGAGGAAACTATGGTGTAGAGATAGGGTTAGAGAAAGCAATAAAGAGATGGCAAGAGAGAAAAAAAAAACAATAAAGGTAAAAGGTGGATATATGCCATACTAATGAACCACTCAAACCCAAAGTGAGCTATGTGCATATGTATTTCAAGTACTGAAGAATGGCAGTCTCACATTAGGAAGTATCTCAAAGAGGCTTAGCAAAAGACAAATCAAGCTCTCATCCTACACCATGGCACCCGCTAAACATTTAAATGGAGAACACTTTGTGATTTGGAAAACTTCAGGAAATTTGGCACCACTTAGAAAGGGCCAGTGTTGCCATGGTGAGCTGACTACAAAGGGTTCAGGTGCAGTCTCACTCATCTAAGCAATAAGGAGAAATACACGCATGTACCCCTAACTCCATTCAATATCCATGGCTCACAGAGCATCTAAATTGAACCCCTATTCAAAGCAAAACTCTCCTGTTAGTACCACAAATTATTTCTGTCAAACTACTTGCAAGAAACCAGAGACAGGTTTTTTTTTTTCAATTAAGGGACTAAATATTCACATCAATGCATGTGTTCATTTTTAAAAAATGTCTTGAAATGAATACTGCAACGTTCAAATTAACAAGAAGTGCTGCAAGCTGCTTCAGATCTCCTGTAGATGAATGTTTCCTCAGGGATCTTGCAAGCCATCTGCAGAAAACTTTTCCTCCCACAATCTCCCTGAGCATTTGCTGGGATGATCTCTCAATTTAAATGCAGAAGAAGGTGTACATATGCAAATCCCTATAGCTTTCGTAAACTGGAGAACATAGTGATGGTGATGAAATCCAACTAGTGATGAAATCCAACCTCCTTACAAACCACTACCCAGGTTTTATGAAACCCTCACCATATTTATAATCCCACTCTGAAGCTTTCCCCTCCCATAGAGTTCTTCCCCAGACTTCTAAAATAGCCACACACACAAAAATCACAAGGCAGATAAGTTGAATATTAAACTTTCTTATGAATGATTATAAACTTGCTAGAAATTCTTTAATAACTCTGCATTTAACTGCTTGTTTAGATACCTAATCCCATACATGGCTTGCAGAGGAAAAAGAGATAGGACAATATCATTTTCTATCCTAAACACATGACTACCCAAGTTCTACATTGATGATAAACATAAAATCACAGAATCTCAAGAGTTTGAAGGAACTAGAGGAGTCTTGCTTTCCAAACTGAAATCTATTCTCCATGATACTCAAAAAGTGATCATTAGCCATTTCTTGAGAACCTCAAGTTGCTACCTTGCAAAGAGCCCTTAATTCAGGTATCTATAATTTTCCTGGCTATTAAAACAGACCACACACACACACACACACACACACACACACACACAGAGTTTCTAGTTTGTTTACATGTGATGGAACTGCAAAATTTCTCCATTTGTAAGTGTGCCTTGACATCTATATTACAGCGACTCCACCAGAGTTAGGCAGGAAAGAAAGAGTATTAATAAGAGTCTGGCCAAGGGTTCTATTCAAGGAAGACCTCTTATTACCCCAATCCCCAGCAATACTGGTATTACTCTAACTAGGGGGCTAGTGGAACTAGAACTGGGAAAGGAGGTTGGTGTAAGTAAAGAATCAGTGGCTTCAGACAAGGACTCAGTATCATACACTCCTGAAAACTTCCTCAGTTCACTGAACCTTCTCTATCCCAGAACTTCTGAGATCTATCCAAAGAAGGGAGAAAGCCATTTGACCTTTGTTACCTTTATCAAAAATATTTTCTACTGGCATCTGGAACACTTGGCAAAATAATTTCTCTGCTATATGAAAGCAAAGCCATCAAATAGCTTTAAAGAAAGTCAACTGTCCTGCAGAAAAACCTGGAAAGACTCATATGAACTGATGCTGACTGAAGTGAGCAGAACTAGGAGAACATTGTACACAGTAATAGCCACGTTGTGTGATGACTAACATTGATAGACTTAGCTCTTCTCAGCAATGCAAGGATCTAAGACATCTTCAAAAGTCTCATGATAGAAAATACTATCCACATCCACAGAAAGAACTGTGGAGTTTGAATACAGATAGATGCTTACTATTTGTTTTTTTTCCTTCTGTTTTGTTTTGTTTCTTCTTTCTTGTGGTTCCTCCTATCGGTTCTAATTCTCCTTTACAACATGACTAATGTGAAAATATGTTCAATGGGAATGTAAATGTATAACCTATATCAGACTGCACACCATCCTGGGGAGTGAGGTGTGGAGGGAGGGGTAGAAAATTTAAAACTCAAAAGCTTATGGAAGTGAATGTTGAAAACTAAATAAATTAATAAAAAGGAAAAATAAATACAAGAAAAAAAAGAAAGTCAATTGTCCTGACATGTCAAATTCTTTCAGTTAAAAAGAGGTACGAGTTTCCTAAACTGGAAAATTAAGATGCTGGACAGCTTAGACAATTTCTCCTAGGTTTAAAATTCAGTGATTCTATGACTTTAACTGTCCCATCGAATTCCACTGCTAGTTCACTGTGAAACCTTGTGCATACATAGGGACTTATTCGTTTGTGTTCATCAAGAGCAAGGGCCGATGAACTTGTGCTCTTAAAAATATTGACAACTATTTGACTATAATTGGCTTCTTTTATGATCTTCTGTATTTTAATTTATGTGTTTAAAAATGTTACTCTGAGAAAGGGGCCGTAGGCCTCATCAGAATGCCAATGGAGTACATAACACAAAAAAAGTTAGCAACCCCTAATCTAAAAGGAATAGATCAACAATTTGTTTTCTGTCTTTACTGTCCATCAGTCTCCAAACTAAAATGACCTGGTTCACGGAAAAACTGTTTATTGTTCTCTGTGCGTGTAAGGATTTAGCATGTTTTGATGGACTAAAAGTCCTTGTAAAGCATTCAACAGTATATGTCAAGAGCACTTGCAAGGATGGTATAATGCATTGGTTAAAAAAACATTTCATATATCCATATAAAATAAGTCTGTCCAAAACGACTACAGGTTTAAAGTTAGTATTGTAAAAGATATATAAGGCAGCTATAGCCTCCAAATAATTCTTCAATTAATAATTTAATAAAAAAATTATTACTAGGAACTTGGCAACATACTAGGTAATGATTTCACTATGGTATAGCAAAGATAAACAACCTTCCTTATCATCAGGGTATAACTGATTTGACATCCACTCTTGGGATTGTTCTCAGGTTAAATACCAAGGAAGCAGAATATCTTTCATCTTCACTGCTGCTGTCCATCCTCACTTATTTAGTCCCAGAAATCTATTTCAAACCCTGCCCTACCCTAATGTATTGTCCAAATCATTAACACTTTAAAACACTAGAAGCTGGTAAAGCAGAGTACTGGAAAAGTCAATAGAGAGTCAATAGAAGCTGAATTAAAGAAGGAACAAGGAAAACAGACAAGGAAATTTGGAAAAGTGAGAGACCTAGGCCTTTTCATTGTGTCATCAATGTTCCCTAGTCACAGCCAGACAAATAATTCAGGTTTGCTGACTCTTATCCATGAGCTATAGTTACTTGCACAAAGTAACAGAATAGGGACAAGGAATATTGTGGATTATCTCTGCAATAACATTTTCTGTGATTCTTCCACCCACACTGAAAATTATAGAATATGCTATCATTGCTGTGAACTACCAAGGTAAAAAGTAGCCATAATCAGCTAATAAGTTGGAACTACACATCTGGAATAATAATTGTCTGAAACTCAATTTTTCCTAACTCAAAGAAAAGTTACAATTTGTGTAGATTCATACCTTAGGGTAGGTGATTATGAAGGTTTGCCTAATTCCAGGAAGCTAAAGAACTCTCTATGATCTGAGAGTCTTAACTTTTCTATCTTTGGTAATCTGATGAAGCCTAACAGACTTTTTCTTAGAATAATGTTTTACAATGCATAAAATACATAGGATTACAAAGGAAACCAATTTAGTTGTGAAAGTTATCAAAATTTTTAAAAAACCTAATTTATGGACCCTAGATTAAGAATCTAAGATTCTAAAGGGTAGGTTAAGTGTCCATCTATGTTGGTAAAAGAAGTTCCTCGATGGGATATTCCTTCACCAATGAAATCACAGGTCCAAGTCCCAAAAAACAGCATGTATATTCAGAATTAAAGCTGGGCCAAAGTCTTTCATTATATACTAAAAGAGAACAGATGTCAATGAAGATGAAATAAGAGATTTTTGTCATCTCCCTCCTGGGTTGATCTCCTTGATCTCAACATTGTTTCTAGTAACTCATCTTCCAGCAAGACTGAATCAGCTCTGAAATTCACCTTTTTTTTATTACCACCCTAGACTCGAGGTTCCTCCCTCCCTGTGATTGGAGAAGTGGAAGGTGGATTAGGAAGTCCTCCTAGATCGTTCATTAAAGGAGGGTCCCAATGCTGTCACCTCATCATTTCCTCTCCTCTCCCACTTCCCACTCCCACCCCAAACCTAGTTAGGGTAAAGACCGTCTTTTACCTTTCTTTGTTTCCCCAGAGCTTTGCATATTGCCTGGAACATAGCAAGTGCTTAATAAAATGTTCATTGATTATTGACTATCAACAGTCTCAAGTGAAAAAAAATCTTTTAAACTGTCTTTTAAAAAACAATCATAGGTGTCACTACTGATCTAAGTATATGTATGTACCTTAGTGATGACATTTGAAGCTACCAAGTAAACTGGTATTTCAGACACTCCCAACACTATCCAATATATACAAAAATGTAATACCTCAATTCTTTGACTTAACCTACCCTTGGCTAGATTAACGTAAGGCCCTGGAAAATAGCTAATGTTTCATTTATGCCACCGTTTCCCCAATGCCCACAACAGAGCCTAGTATGTTGTAGATGCTTGATAAACTTACTGAGAAATCATTGAATGATTGATACAGGAATGAGTAAGCAGCTTTCAACTTTCCATAAATATGAATCCTATCAATGAATTGTAATAAAATTTTGACTAATGTAATTATTTGACAAATACTTGGTTTTAAGGGCAGGAATGATAGCCAAACTTTAATTACAGAATAATTGACAGCAGAAAGCCAATACAAAAATAATCATATTCCAAAAATGTACTTGTTGGAAAGGGTGGGGTCTCATTATTGGGTTTTTAGTTCTTTTCTTGTGTTTTTTTTAAAATAATAATAATAATAAATAAACATTTTAAAATAGTGCCCTCTAGTGGAAGTTATATTTTGTGACATCTCTTTGAATAATAAAAGAATGTACTATAAAGGTAAAGAAGAAAGCATCAGGAAGCTTAAAAAGTTTCAACAAATGAGAACAAGTTACCCAAATCTGCTATACAGCATTGTCCATTCTTCTTAACAAGGATATTTTTACTCTTTAAATCCCGGTGGGATATGGCTGGTTTTCCTTGAGTTCCAAATATCTCTATATGCAAATGTGCTAGACCACTAGCTATAGACAGCACAATTCGAAGACAGCTAACTGTGTCCAGAGTAGTGAGCTGTAGGTAGTCATACAAGGATCCCATTTCATGATAATGTGTAATTAACCACAACTGAGTACTAGAGTGTCTTGATGTCATATCTGAAGCAATGAACCCTGAGGAGAGAAAATACGAAAAAAATGAGAATAACCATAAGATACCAAAGAAAGCTCTGCATTAAATTTCTTTTTGGTGTTTCAAGATAAGAGCTTAGCACAGTGCCTACAACATAATAAATAAGTGCTTAATAAATGTTTATTGATTGATTGATGATTTGCATAACATAATGAATTTAATCAATCAGTACAAAAGGAGATTTATTTAAGATAAACAAATGAACATAACAAAAAAGTGATCATTTTAAGTTGGTTTCATCAAAATTCAGTGTCTTGGGATATGTTCCCCTAAAATGTGAACATCTAAAAAGGTGATAGAAAGGAAGACACAATAGTTTCGATGTTTAAAATGTTCTTTTAAAAAGAAAATTTACAAAGAAATGTAATTCTGTTAAACATAATATCATAAGTTCCTTAGAAGACAATGTCAAGTCTAGTTGATACTAATAAGATATTTGTTAAGCACTTTGAAACCTTAAAACCTTATACAAATTCTAACTAAAAGTAGTAGTAACAGCAGTAGTAGTATCATAATATTTTCAGGACCATAAGTACACACTTAAAGCTGTGTTTTTGAAAGGCAATAAAATGTGACCAGATGAAGCAATTAATCAGGATGAACTCTAAACCCTTGGAAACAAGCCAGGCTCACCTCACCCTGACTAGAATGAAGCCTCTATCTAATTTCCCAGCAACCCAGCTTCCTCCATTCAATGGTATTGTCACCACTTCCTTGCCATATGGACCTTGAACTCATTTCCCTGCTGAATCTACCTTGGACTCCTGTAGGTAACGTTTAGCCACATCCTGCCTAGAATCAGGCCTCTGACCATCTCATCTGCACTTTGACTGCTGGGACTTCCACTCTCTTTTAGCCCTAATTTCCAGCTCCTTTTCAAGGATTATCTTCCCCCAATTATGACTTCCTTGAGGATAGGAGCTGTCTTGCTTGCTTGTATTGTTAGCACATTATGAGCCTGTCATATAATAAGTACTTATCAATCTTTCTATTCATCTCTATGTCTACCCACCCACCCATGTTAATGCTCTTCCAAGGAGAAATAGTCTGATGATTGTCTCTGGGAAAAAAAAATACAATGCAAAGATGTAATAGAATTAAGTTAACCAGTACATATGGAATTATCTTTGGAATTGCGTGAAATCTAATGAGCTAATGAAGAGTCTTGACCTTTATATGAAAGCACAAATGTAGTAGTAATTCACAAATTATTGACAAATAAGTCTGTGAATATTCATGAACACTGCTATATAGAAAGAAATTCCTTGAGGGTATGACAGAATAGGAACTGGGGTAAGGGGTCAGATGACCTGATTTCTTGTACTAAGTTAGATATACATACACCTTCATGAGTTCATAAATTTACAACTGTTGTGTTCAGTCATTTCTCAGTCATGTCTGAATCTTTGTGACCCCATTTGGGGTTTTCTTGGCAAAGATACTAGAGTAGTTGGCCATTTCCTTCTCCCGTTCATTTTACTGGTGAGGAAACTGAAGTAAACAGGGTTAAGTGATTTGCCCAGAATCATACACTACAAGGTATCTGAGGGCAGCCAGAGGAAGATGAGTCTTCCTGACTCTAGGCCCAGCACTCTATCCACTGCACCATGTAGCTATGCCAAAAATTTACAACTAGAAAGAACTTTCAAGTTCTCCTAGTCCAAAGTCCACATTTTACAGATGAGGAAATAGAGTTCCAGGGGCTTAACAGATTTGCCTAAGGTCACAAAGATAATAAGTATTTGACCTTAGATTTTTTTACCCAGTTTCTAACTCCAAATTTTTTGCTCTTTCAGTGTACCACACTAAACAGGTTATACCTTCCTGTGTGTCTCTATTTCCTATGTAAAATAAGGGGGTTTAATTATATGAACTCTAACTCTATAACATTCTCTGATCTCCTACGTTGTATAAAACATGTTATGATTTTATCTATGACTATATCTATGAAGAGGAAGAAGCAATGTCTCTATCTATCTAATTAGAAATGAAACATGTATGAACCTTGCAGTGGCATCTATAGCTTTTTCCCCTATAGGGAAAAAAAATTCTACCAAGATAACAATTTGTCTACAAGCATCTAGTAAAGTCTCTCTAAAACAACTATTCTTGATGTCAAATTATTTTGGCTTGTCAATTTTATCTTTGGCCTATCTGGTATTTTATTAATAAAAATAAAAGGCAGATCACAAGAATCTTTTGAACTTAATTTCTTAGAGGCTTGAATCCAAAATTAAATGGGAATTATTAGTCATCTGTTCCACAATGTAATTTTCCTAAAACATTTATGGTTTGAATGGTATCTAAAACAATTGTTAACTGTGAATATGAACGATGAATAAAACTGTGAGAACTCTTCAAATGTGCCTCTCTTCTAGTTACCTATGCCCCCACTACCAGAAAAACAAAAAATCAGGATAATCTCTGCTCGTCTCTCAAAATTGCTAAAGAATCCAAGGACAATTTAAAAAGAAGAAGAGCCAAGATGGTGGAGTAAAGGCATGAATTTGCCTGAGCTCTCCCAAATTCCCCTCCAAACAACTCAAAAATAATACTCCAAAAACAAATTCTGGAGTGGCAGGACCAACAGAAGGATGGAGTGAAACACTTTTCTAGCCCAAGACAACTTAGAAGGTTGGCAGGAAAGGTCTGCCTCATTGGGATGAAAATGAAATGTGATGCAGTACAGGCCTTACTGGAAAGCTAGCAGCAGGCCTTGGGGGGGCCTGAACTGGCAGCCGTAAATGATAAAGTGGTAGGACAACTTGTCAGGAGGAGATTTTAGGGGACAATGGGTGCAGGACTCTGTTGCACTGCTGCATGTGGTCACAGTCCCAGGATGAGGAAAAGCATCACCACATTAGTGCTTGAGGCTGCAAGAGCATGGGCACTCTGGTCACAGTCCCAGGGCAGAAAAGAGGAGTGTTTGTGGTCACTCACAGAACAGAGTGCAGGCAAGAAGAATAGGGATTATATCTCACCTTACCACCTTGGAAAAACTGAAAACTTACAGACCTCCAGAACTAGCTCTGAAAATAGCAGCACAAAGAAACTGAAGGCTAGCACAATGCTCTGAGTAAAGCCCAACTTTAAAATAGAGCTAAAAGTTAAGAAATAGGCTGGAAAAATGAGCAAACAAGAACAAAAAAAAAAGAAACTGATCATAGAAATTTACTATGGTGACAAGAAAGATCAAAATACAAACTCTGAAGAAGACATCAAAGTCAAAACTACTGTATCCAAAACCTCAAAGGAAAATGTGAATTGGTCTAAGGACCAAAAAGAATTCCTGGAAGAGCTCAAAAAGGTTTTTTAAAAACAAATAAGACATCATACCTACATACAAAATGGGAAAATGATAAATGTTGGAGATGTGGGAAAATTGGAACACTATTGCATTGTTGGTGGAGTTGTGAAATGATACAACCATTTTGGAGAGCAATTTGGAACTATGCCCAAAGGGCTATCAAAATGTGCATACATTTGACCCAGCAATAGCACTTCTAGGGCCATATCCCAAAGAGATCATATAAATGAGAAAAGGACCCACATGTACAAAAATATTTATAGCAGCTCTTTTTTTGGTGGCAAAGAATTGGAACTTGAGAGGATGCCCATCAATTAGGGAATGGCTGAGCAAGTTGTGGTATATGAATGCAATGGAATATTATTGTGCTGTGGGAAATGATGACCAGGCTGACTTCAGAAAAACCTGGAAAGACTTGTATGGACTGATGCTAAGTGAAGTTAGCAGAACCAGGAGAACCAGTAACAGCCATGTTGTCTGATGACTAACTTTGATAGATTTAACCCTTCTCAGCAATGCAAGGATCTAAGACATCTCCAAAAGTCTCATAATGGAAACTGCTATCCACATCCAAATAACTATGGAGCTAGAATGCAGATCGAAGCATACTATTTGCTCTTTATTTCTCTTCTGTTTTCTTTTGTTTCCTCTTTCATGTGGTTCCTTATATTGGTTCTAATTCTTCCTTACAACATAACTAATGTGAAAATATGTTTAATAGGAATGTATATGTAGAGTCTATATCAGATTGCACATTGTCTTGAGAGGGAGGCAAGGAAGGAAGGGGAGAAAAATTTAAAATTCAAAAGCATATGGATGTGATTGTTGAAAACTAAAAATAAGTTAATAAAAAAATTTTTAAAAACAAATAAGAGGGGTAGAGAAAAAATTGGGGGGGACGACAGTGATACAAGAAAATCATTTTTTAAAGAGTGAATAGTTCAGTCAAGGAGGCACAAAAAAGAATACCGAAGAAAGTAACATCTTAAAAAACAGAATAGGACAAATGGTAAAAATGAAAAAAGTTTAAAAAGCACAAAAATCCAATGAAGAGAAGAACACCTTAAAAAGCAGAACTGGCCAAATGGAAAAAAAGATACAAAAATTCACTGAAAAGAAAAACTCCTTAAAAAACAAAATCAGCCAAATAGAAAAAAGATGTACAACAATTTAATGAAAAGAAAAAAACTCCTTAGAAAACAGAATTGACTAAATAGAAAAAAAAATGTACCAAAATCCACTAAGGAAAAGAACTTCTTAAAAAGTGGAACTGGCCAAATGGAAAAGGAGGTACAAAAGCTCACTGAAGAAAATAATTCCTTAAAAATTAGAATGGACAAGTGGAAGCTGATGACTTCATGAGACATCAAAAAGCAATAAAATAAAGTTTTAAAAAATGAAACAATAGAAGAAAATGTGAAATATCTCATTGGAAAAACAACTGACCTGGAAATTAGATCAAGGAGAGATAATTTAAGAATTATTTGACAACCTGAAACATATAATTTTTAAGAAAAGAGGGGCAGCTAGGTGGTGCAGTGGCTAGAGCAGTGGCCCTGAAGTCAGGAGGACCTGAGTTCAAATCTGGCCTCAGACCACACACTTGACACTTAGTAGCTGTGTGACCCTGGGCAAGTCACTTCACCCCAGTTGACTTAAAAAAAAGGCATCATA